TGCCAGAAAGATGGGAAAAAGTAGTGGCTAGCGATGGACAATACTTTCAGTGACATGTTTTTTACGACTTTTTTTAAATAAAGCATTACATTTCACGGAAAATCAGCGAGAACTTATTCAAGATACTAATATAAATACTATTATGAGATATTAGTGAGATAATAATACCTTCATTAATTGTATCATTTTTTTTATTAGACTAATTTAGAATTTTTACATTAAAAGACGCGCATAAATCATCGACCATCATCGGCCGGTTGGAGATCAGCTAAAAAGGCGTTATACTGATCCATAATACTCGATTCTTCAGATGCATTGGTTTTATCATCGTATTGCGAACCGACAGTCCATAGAGTCTCCAGGTCGTATTGTTCTCTAGCAGAGACAGATAAGATATGCAGAGCGATATTTCCTGCAATATAAACGATGCACAATTTTGTAAATTGCTCTAATAAGTTCGAAGTTATTTTATAGTTATTAACATTATCTATCTACTTCAATTCTTTATAAGTAGTAAGCTTGAGGAGAGCTTATAATACTTACATATAGTAATTACATAGAATGATATATTAGTCTTTAATTACTTTTCAACATTTTGGTAATTTAGAAACAAGATGAAAATAATTATATTACATATTGTATAAATACATAATATAATTTTATTATGATTTTCTTACATTTTTTATCCCATTTCTAGATTATCTTATTTTTAGATTTCTAAATAAAATGTTAAAAAATAATTAAAGACACACTTGTGTAAATTTATACAAACTAATATATAATTATATACTTGTATATAATTGTATGATATATATATAATTTTATTACTTATTGACTGAAAACTTGTGGCAATCACTATATATATTGAGAATTGTAAGTTATTAAAACATAAAACATAATTTCCTAATTCAAAGAATACATTACCTAAATCCAAGGCCATCCAATCTTTTGACTTCTCTCCTTCGATTTTAGGTATCAACTCATTTTCATATCTTTTCAGTTTGTAAACCTTGCGTACAAAGGTGGCTAAAGCTTTCATGTGCTTTTGTGAATTTCCAGTTGCAACAATGATGTAGTCCACGTAAGCGTACTCCTTGGGAACGGAAGCGACAAAGATGTTCTTGGCTTTATCTCTTTCCAGTAACTCAACGAGTTGATCGATGTCAAATACTCCAGTAACACCATCTAACATATACATAATTTGATCATTACTGTAGCATCATTTAATTTCTTAATAATTTCATCATCTTTTATTAATTAAAAACAATATTTATTATACAGGGTGTTTCCAAATTAAATGGCAAAACTTCGGGAGCGTGTAGAGGAGTAAAAAACTAAGAAAAAAAGTCCTATAGACATATGCTCCTTTTTGCTTTGTTTCGCAGGAAATCACGAAAAAAGAAAAAAATATATTTAATTTATTATTTTAATTATTTTATTTATAAACTTTTTAATGAAGATTTTGTTCGAAATGTGCACCTCTTGCAGCAATACAAGCATTGCATCTGTCAAACACGGCTCTTGTAGCAGCCAGGCACTGTTCTTGCGATATTCTGTTCGCTGCAGCTACGATACGATTTCTCAAATGTTGCTCT